TGAAAAAAATCTGACAGACACTTCCACAACACAACTTACGACTTCTTGAAACTAAAATATAGTTATACACAATATGAGAAACAAGCAGACTATTCAACTACAACTGATTATCTCTCCTTCCCACAATTATGTTCCCACAGTCAAATCAGTGTCACAAAGAAACATGAAGAAACCATGGAAGTACACTTATATAGCACATTTGGACTCACCCATCATTGGTAGAGCATCACAGTTCTGGGTTTAAGGAATGTGCATATTTTACTATACTAACCTCAACTATTCAGGTTTTGTGCATATCCAACAACTAGCACAGCCATTTCTTGTAACTGTGAAAGTTTAAACCAGCTTAATCTGTTGCACAGTTGTGAGCATGTTTAACATGCCACACATGACAAATCACAATATATCTGTATGAAGAATGACTAAATACTAAATAGTTTTGATCATCTGCTGGAGGAGGTGTTTTCTCTGCAATCTTCCCCCAAAGTTATATAAACAGGACAACATCCAGGTTTCGGGAATTGGGAGGGGTGGAGGATATACAGACTTCAGGATGATCTCATACATCTCCTTTTGCATTTGCAAAATCTGGAAATTATGATTAAAAAAAGGTCTAGAGAACCAGTTGGGCATTTACCAAGCCACTACATTATTATTGTCTACTCCACCATATTATACAACCAGTGTTTACTACATACTACCTGCCAATTGTGTACTACTACACTAGTCAAAAATGAATCACTCACTCACTCTCAAGGAGCTGAGCCCTTCTTGAGAAGCTGCCACTTCTGCAGGTATTCCCCAGCATTTAATGGAACCCGAAGGTTCATTACCATGTTTAAAAGAGCCCTCCACTGATCCCTATCCTGAGCCAGATCAATCTAACCCATACTATCCCATCCTATCTCTCTAAGATGCATTTTAACATTTTGCGGACCGGCAATTTAAATATTTAAATCACCCTGGGGACCAGCATTTTTAAACCTACTACCCTAACTTGTGCACTGTTCACTTTAAAAATGAATATAAAATCTCCTAATTAATTTTATGAACTAAAATTTTTGGAGAACGCTTACCAATGCTCCTAGAAGTGCTTGAGAGTGTGATATTCCTGGAAACATTCCCCTTTGTGATGTGGCATTACACAGAACTTGCAAATGTAGGCAGTCATGCTCCTTTTTCTGTGAGCTGTGCAAACATGACATTGCCTAGAAGGATGCTTCCCCTTGGAATGTTCATTCTTCACATTTTTCACGAGGGTATATTTCCGCATATCACCCGAGAATTGCCCAGGGGGGGTCCACATGAGGCCTGAGAGGGGTGGGAGTTGATGGTCCCGGTCCCACTAAGTCTTTGTCAGACTCTCGTTCTGCCACCACCATCTGGTCTGCAGCCCAGGCCTTTGCCACATTCATCAGAAATGCTTTATATTTCAATTTTGATTGGGGTTTAGATTTTTGTAAACCAAAAATGAATTGAAAGTGGCACAATTTATAAGTCACAAGGCAACTTTCTTTGTCCACTTTATTGTTTATCTAGGAAGAGAATAATAGGCCAAGTATTGATCTGCTCTATCAACTCCCTTCATGAACATATTATACTCAGAAGTACAAATAGGCTTCTTTACTTGTCCATGTCTCCTTTGAACATGAACCATGCTCGAATTGTGAATTGTGGAAATCATATTCACAATACGAGTATCTCTATCTCCAAAAAACAGTTCTGCTACTTCAGACACTTGCGTTGTGTCCGATGGAATTTGTTTCACCCCTGGATATCCAGTAAACTGTCCCAAAGTGGGTGTTTTGTCTGCTTTTCCCCATGTGGCTGTACCCACAATTTTACTACCTGCACTTCTTCCTGCACTTTTGTCGGAGCTACTTTCACTTTTATTGTCTGTGGCTACACTTGTTTGTTGACCCCTGTCACTGCCACTGTCTCAGTTTCACTACACCTCTCACAAGGCACGTCAAATAGCTCATCGGAGAACGAGTAAGATATTTCTTTTTCTCCGAGATATCGCTTCGTCGTCAACCGCTTCTGTCCTTGATTCATATTGCACTAAGATCCTGCCTGGTACATAACAGCTTGAAGGGTCAAAGATTATTTTCCTTTGGAGGGGGAACAAAAACAGCGAGGTCAAGTTACTACCTACTAGGCAAACATTCCGGAGTAATATTACACAGTAGTCATTCATCTGGGCGGCACCAGAGGGATGTATAGTGTGTTACAACCTATCGTGTTCTAAAAGCCAGTTAACAGGCGAATGGTCCGTCATGTTTAAAAGCGAAAAACCATTTAAAGGGTGCACGGTCCGCAAACTGTTAATATTGTCCACCCACCTATGCCTTGGTCTTCCCAGTGGTCTCTCTAATTCTGGCTTTCCCACCAATATCCTACATGCATTCCTCTTCCCCCACATTCGTGCTACAAGCCCCGCCCACCTCATCCTCCTTCACTTGTTCACTCTAATGAAATGAAATACAGTAAAATATCCAAATAACTAAATTCCTGAGACCTAACTTCTGGAATTGGTTATGAGAAAGTTCCTCTAGATAATGAAGCCCATCAGAATGAAGTGATTTTGGTATATCTTCGTATTACAGCCACCAGCCAGTTACACATCTGCTTGACTTTTCAACGTCTATCTCTGTGCTACAGTACATGTACTTTGTTGAAAATCAACCAGTGTTTCACCCCCTCTTCAGGACCGAAGAATAAGCCTAGCAACAAATCAATGTGAAGCAGGTAGCAAGGCAACCATGGCTATGAGAACCTAATTCTGACATACTGACTTTTGTTTTTATCAGTTACACTATTTAGACTGATATATAGTATTTAGTTGCACTACAAAATCAAAATGTCTTTATTACTTCTGTAGGTCTCTCAAATATCCAAATTTTGTGGCAGATTATGTTAGGTTCTGTTACACTAATTTAGTTTTATTTAATCCTAGACAATACTACAAAATTACACTATAGGTAATCTAGGGTGTACACAGAAATAAATGAATTTTATGCATATTTTTGTAACTGGGTATCATTTTAAACTTTTTAGTAAAGTTGATGTGTGCACATAACAAGAGTACATTAATGAAACTCTACTGAAATGCAATAATCAAGGAAAATAAACATAGCACAAAATTTGAAACTACCTGTTACTGGACAACAAGAAGTCTTCTAAATTAACATAATTTCCACTGGTTTTAAATCTTCCTTCAGACTAATCCACAACAAACAAAATGTACATTTCCCACACACTTTCCTGCTGAGGTATGTAATGGTAGTACACGAACAGCAGATATGACAGACTTGCTTCTTTCTGCAGCCCCAAGAAAGGAGTCCTTTACATTCACATGCTTGACCTTTCTTAACATTCTCTTGAAGGAAAAATTTTATACCATTAAGTAGAAATATGCTTCAAAGTTGAGATACAAAGTAGATTTTGAGTGCAAGATGTCACCTAGTTGTGTGGCCAGGTCCATATGTGCACAAGATATTCAACGCCCCGATTGTTAAAGGTTAAACTGTGGCCAAATGTCATTTAAAGTTGACTGTAGCAAAGCACAGAACAAGCATATTCATGTACACATGGCAATACATCCCAGAAGACAGTATCCTCATAATTTATCAAGAATCGATTACAATTATCCAAACTGTCACACTCCCTCCTTTCTGCTAGTAGACTTGCTGTAGATGTAAACACTGCAGCCTTGTCAAATCATAATCATTTGGTATGTCCTCCACCCCATTATTAGAGCACAGTAATACATGCCCAATATATTTCCCAGACTCATCAAATATTCAAGCGCAGAAATGTCTTCCTCAAAAAGAAACCTCCTGGCCCTTACGATTCACTAGCTGCAAGGATCTGGCATTGCTTGGGCTTAGTGGTCTCCTTTCCTTTTATTACAGTCCTTGTACCTTGTTGAATGAAATGAAGGGAATATCTGGTATCCATATGAAAGCAGTTTAAAACTATCTTAACACCAAATATTCAGAAAAGCTGAAAACAGCATGATAAAGTTTGATCACGTTGCATATTAAGAGCACATGATCTCAATAAAGGCCAATGTGAAACTAACACACATATGTTCTGCCTAACTTACATTCAGACCTGCACTACAAGTATATTAAGAGTAAGGATAACTCAGATGGTATAGTGACTAGGTTATGGGCTAGATGGCCGACGAATCGAGGTCTGATTCCCAGTAGGGACAAGAGTCTTTTTCATAACAAACTTGCTCTAGAGCCCACCGAGCCTCCTATACAATACGGACCAAGAGGTGTTTCCCCAAAGGTAAAGTGGCAGGGGTGTGAAGCTAACCACTCATCTCCTCCTAGTGCCACACTTAAAAATGGTAGAGCAATACCTCTGCTCCTTCATGCCTCTTCATGGTGGGGCGCTTAGTTAATAAAGCCCAGGGATAACTTTACCTTTTACCCCCGTATGGGGCACACAATGGTGTATTTGGTTGAGGCACTATGCTACAAGTCAGGTCATGCGTTCAATTCCCAATGAGGTCACTGGATCTTTCAGTTGACCTAATCCTTTCAGCCACACGATGGCCCTGGAGTCAACTCAGCCTTTAACAGAAATGAGTAGCAGGAATCTTCCTGGAGGCAAGAGGAGGCCAGCACACAAGGCTGACAACCTCAACGCCATCTGTGAGCCAACTGTCTAGAAAATGTGGGAGCCTCAACATCACACAACCCTACGGGCCTCCACAGCCTATTACAGGGATAGCTTTACCCTTTCTTTTATACCGCCAATAGTATATCAGTGGACATAATTCACAGCTTATGGATGACAGTGATTATATCATGGACATAAATCACAAAACAACGCACAGATCAACAAAATACTGCACCTCAAATCCATTTAAACCACCATCCCTCAACGCTCACTGGGTTATCGGCCTAAAGTTACATATATACTTTATGTTAGTAAGTTCCTTTCATAACAATAAATTAACTGTTATTTCTTGATCATCTACTAACCTCCAACTTCAGAAACAGCAGCAGCAGCCGATATACTTCTGCCAGGCACCAAATCTCTCTCCGATAACGATTCGCAATGGGCTACATGGAATGGATTTCCGAATGGATTGCTTTTAGCTGTTTCTATCATAGACTGCCACATTTTATACAGATACGGCCCTGAAATGTATAAATATCATTAAAAATAAAAGATATGATATTTATAATGCTTATACTTGGTACGTTTATGCTTATAACGACAGACACTTCCATTCAACTTCCTACCTATAATGGCGTACAGCCTTGGAAAAGGACGAACAATTTCTTACAGACAATTTTACGTGAGGAGCAAGTCCCTATCGCGAATCAAATACACTACTGAGCTATTGAGTAGTGCTGCTATCTATCTTCGTACATATGAATAGAGAGACTTCAGTAACTTTAATTCCGAATGAGCATCAACAATTTACGTTTAACGAAAATAAAGTCAAAAGCACTGTAGTTATTCACAAAACTCCAAAAGATCCCGCCTCCCTCTTTGCATACTTCATATCCTTTATGTCCTCCGTTATGCCGCCAGAACAAACTAAAATTATATATTGTCACTTGTTCATGACTAGACATTGGATTTGGAGTGGCAATTGTATTTATTCAATGCTTTGAAACTCCCCCCTCAAGTTTTATTGTAACTACAAGCCTGACAATAAACTCTCGTTTATGCTTCTGGCAAGGAAAACAACACAAAGTCACATCACTGACTACAGCAAGTGGCAAAAACTACTGGTCAGCATATAATAAATAGAAAAAAATACATAAAGATGTAATTAGACCCAATCTCGGTGGAATTTGGTTATTAAAAAACTCCCCGTCACTCAGCCGCTCACTAATTTCCCAACATTTTATGGAACCTGAAGTTTCTTACTATGTTCACAAGAACCCTCCTCTGGTCCATATCCAGTCAGGTCAATCCAGTCCATACAAACACCTTCTGTCTTTCTATGATTCCTCTTAATATTAACCATCCACCTATGTCTAGGTCATGCTCGTCATCTCTCTCCCTCTGGCTTCCCCATCAAAATCCTATATGCAACCCTCTTATCCAAATACATATTGCATGCCCTGCCCATCTCCTCCTCCTTGACTTGATCATTCTAATCATGTTTGGTGAAGAGTACCATTTACAAAGATCCACATTATGCAATTTTCTCCAACTTCCTGTAACCTTATCCCTCTTTGGTCCAAATATTCTCCTCAGCGCCTTCTTCTCAAACACCCTGAGTCTATGAAGAAAGCAGTCTTCTAGGATTTGGTACCGTGTATATGTGGTGTTAACCGACATTTCGGAGGAACGTATCGCCTCCATCTTCAGGGTAGAAGGAAAAATATAAGAAATCTACAAGTGAAGAGACCGTGAGAACTGGTAAAAGCTTTTTCCTTCTACCCTGAAGATGGAGGCGATACATTCCTCCGAAGCATCGGTTAACACCACATATACACGGTGCCAAATCCCAGAAGACTGCTTTCTTCATAGTCACCGCCGTGAACGCCTCAAATCTTACATATCTCTGTCATGATTTCACCCTGCATAATTGTACCAAGACATCAATCAATATTCATTCAGTTTTCTCTGCATTTACTTCTAGGGCAACCTCCTTAATTGCACCAGCTTGAGTTTCTGCTTTTCTTCATAGTATTTACATTATCTCCCAATAGATTTACATCATCAGCAAAGACCAGCACTTTGTGTGCTGCATTTCTTTCCAGTCTCACCTGGACCTTCTAAATGGCATATTCTGAAGCAAAGTTGAATAACAATGGCAATAAAGCAGCTCTTTGTTTCAGACCACTCTAAACAGGAAATAAATCAGATAAATGTTAACCTAGCCGGTCACGGTACCCGAGCAGTCTAAGGCATGCACTGTCTTCGCTCACTTGGAAGCCGGGATCGTGGGTTCGAATCCCACTCAGGGTATGGATGTTTGTGTGCGTTTTTCTGTGATTGTCTATAGGTAGAGGCCTTTCGACGAGCTGATCACTCGCCCAAGGAGTCTTACTGTATCTGTAAGATCTAGAAAAACCAAAGTGAACGGAGTTCATGGAGGTAGGCCTAGGCCCACTGGGGCTGTAGTGCCAAGGAAAAAAAAATGTTAACCTATACAGAGCTTACTACAGATTTCATTTAAACACATTTCAGTAAGTGTAACTACTCATAGTTTCATGGGTACCCAAACTCAATAAAAATACTGTACAATACTCCCCTCATAACTGAATCATAGAATTTCTTGAGGTCTATGAATAGGTCTGTCTCATTGCGCTTCCATTTCCTCTCCAATACCTGACAAATGCAAAAGAGATGATCAGCAGTTGATCTGTTATGTCAAATCCCACACTAATGATCCCCAGTAATTTCATCTACATTTTGACTTAATCTTGAGATGATATTGGATGAAATTTTGTGTGAAATTGATAACAGTGACATTCCTAGATAATTACTAATCACCCTTCTTGTACATCTGTACAATTTCCATAGCTCAGGCAATTCTTCATTGTTACAAATATGATTACTGAGTTTACCAACCTCACAACATAATTTTTCACCTCTGCTTGAATCAGTTCTGCCAGAATTTAGCACCTGGCAAATTTTTACTTTTTCATCTTTGCAATAGCAGTTTCAGTGTCCAAAGGGCTTGACTCAAGTACTATGTTCTCAACTGTATGTATTCTTATCTGCCTAACTTCACTAAACCTATGTACATTGAATAGCTGAGAGAAAAATTCTTCCACTTACTCAAAATTTTGCAGCGATTTCCAAGCAGACTACTATTTTTTGTCCTTTAGCAAATTACTTCTATGTTGGTAACCATTCCTAATTAACTTATTCCTTTGCATAAATCTCTTATATTCTCATAGGAAATGCACATAAATCATACCTTTTTTCATGAAAGGTAAAGTAGTTTCAGTAATGTAAACAAGATGTCATGAAGGGGTATGAGGGAGTGTAGGTATGGTTCCATGCATTTTTAACCTCAACAATAGAATGAGGAGAATGCCATGATTCAAACCCTGGCTGCTTTACTACTGGGGGGGAAAACCCTCAATACCTGAGCACCAGAGCTAGTCTGCATGTGATGACAAAGACAAATATCCTTGCTCCTGCTAAGTATCAATCCCTGATCAACCAGTCCATAACCAAATCACTGTACGGACTCTACTTCCAATTCCTTTTTCTCTCAAATATTTTGTGAAATATCCAATATTTGTAGACCAAAACATGCTAAAGTAACATTATGCCAACAAAGCCATTATGCATGATGTACAAAGCTCTTACTGTTGTATATTTGTCTCTTTATTATACTGCACTGAAAACATCTTGGAATATGAAAACACCATACAACCTCAGTACAATGACAATTTATGAAATCTGTAAATATTCTCATTCTAATGGGCATCCATAATATACAGCATACAAAAAAGTGGGGTAAAGTACATGATCTTCATGTCTGTCTCCTGACTTCTAATTATGTGAATACCACAGCAAGGCAATAGGGTTTAAAAAAATAATGTAGGTAGAACAATATTTATTCTTGTTTGAACTAGTTTTCATGGAGACATGAAAATGACAAAGAAAAATTCAACATTTTTTACTTTCTTTCGTAGGGGCTGTCTACACAGGTACTTTGCTGCATCTTGATTTCAGCAATAATTATCACAGTACAACAAATAAAACAAACCATGCATTAAATATAGCACAGAGGAATTAACCAATGTGAACACAAATCATTATGAATGGGGGAGGGGAAATAAAAAATATAACAAGCATACCAGTTAAAAATTTGTGGGAACATNAGCCTTTCTCCTTACCGGCGCGCGCCGCGCTACCTCTCCGATCAACCATCTCAGCAGCCACGGTCCTTTTCAGGGCCAACAAATTGTTCCGAAGAAGTGGGTTGTCATAGGAGTATGACAAAGACACACGTAAAGAGAACCCCACAAATTATTATTATGGTATCAGGTTTTTACAGTGTTGAAGACAGATTATAACAGCCTGCAGCCTGGTACATGGTCACCCACATTTTGGAAGAATCTGCTATTTCTAGATGAAGATAGTACGATCCTCAAAAATGCTGAATGTTAGTACCTACATATCAAGCTACATGGTGCCACAATCCAAACATCAAAACCTAAGGAAAGTAGTATCAGTGCCAGCAAATTTGTAATGTTATGGTTAAGTATACTATGTGAAAAACCAGAGGAACAAATAATACATTAAATAAAGGTAAATATGTAAAAGGTTAAAATATATATGATATGAAAACAGAAACACAATTTAAAGGAAGGGCTGAAAGTTGAATGGAATAAGAAAAAAACCGAAGTTGTGAAGATGGATTCCACATTGCACAAACACAATGCTTACAGTTATCACACCACATTTAACAACATTTTATTTCTCCCTCCTCATCCATTAATCAGCAATCCCTAGTCATAAACCCAGTCCTAAATATTAGGAAATATACAAAAATCATAAAAATCTGTCACAATGTATGCATTTCATGTTTAAATAACACAATTGTTTTCTGTCTTACACACACTCTCTAGTTCACTGTCTGATGTTTTTATCTTCGGTAAAGTGAATGAACGACGGATGGGGTATGAGGTATATAAATCTGAACATCCTAGCATGAGTTCCCAGTAGTCTGCATCATCGGAGCTGCACAAACACTGTTTCCTGCCGATGCAGGCCTAAGTCTTTCACTGCAATGGTCCCATCCATATCAGAAAGAACACGTCGTGGAAAGTTTATAACCATTTCATAATCCTTCCTACGGAATCCTTTGGAAGCAACATAAGACGTGAGAGCCTGAAAAAACAATGCAACATATTTCACTACAAAAACATAAAATACAATTATGGTCTCATTTTATTTTCAAGATCAAACACAATGTTCTGGAACTATGTACTTTCATCATGGAGTGGCATGGGATGCCAGACTGAAATGAAGAAGCTTTGTCAACCTATACGTAAAAATAAATCTTCTGGAATATAATGCTGTGTAGTCTGGTGACAGTCAGCCAACATTTTGCAGTAACAGCAAGTACAGCTGCATGGTGCCTGCTTCATGCTGGTTTCTTGCTTGGCTTACTCTTCAGCCCTGTAGATGAAGGTGGTAAGTTCCCTCAGAACTGGCTGACTTTCTCCAGACTACATGGTCTTTAAGCCTATAAGAAAATAACTCTTCATGGTCACAGCTGTCAGAATGTTAAATCCAAACCCTGAAATGTTTCCTTATACATAGATACATAATTTCACAGATCCATTGTCCGGAAACCGGACCGGATATTGAATTCATCAGCAAGATGACATTGCAAAATGCAATCTAGTCTCAACAATTAAAATATTCAGGAATTATAAAATTAAAATACAATAAAATAAAAAGCAGTCATATAACAAATCTAGATAATACATAATCTTGGAAAGACAACAATAATGTATTATGCTTGTCTGTATGCCATGTATTCATCTACCGAATAAAATGCATTTAAAATAAGATAATCTTTTA